AACGTTCAATGTCAGTTTCTCTCTCGACACCATGTGTATCATCAGTACCACAAACAACAAATGAACCATTTCTAGGACCATCGTCAAGAAAAATTCAGAATTACGAACAAGAATTGCACTTTCTTCACAACGACGACGAATATGACTTCTATCAACTGGTTCATAATAATTCTTTATTACAATTAATGAGAAATACTACCTGTCAATCGTGTCTTCAGAATTGGAATGGTAAAATGCATTTGAAAAAACGTGAAGGTAGTTTGAAGTTATTTTGGCTTCTCCAAGCCTTCATTTCGTATATTACTTTAGGTTTATATTGTTCTATTGAATTTCAATGTCAGTGTTCAAACATAATTCGAATAAATTCATCTAATCAATGTTCAAATTCGCAACATCGAGATATAAATGTTCGTTCTGTTATTGGTAACTGCCATTGGTTTTACCAATAGAAAATTTGATAATCTTGTGTTGATTTTCCGTTCTTTTAGCCGCAAATTTGTCTGGAGTCGGTCATGCTGGACTAATAAAGATTTGTGGTGCATTAAATGTGCCTCCTCCAGTTGACGAGGATCTTTTTTCAAGCTTGATGTGTCAAATTTTACCGGTCGTGCAAAAACATCAGCACGAATCGATGAAACGAGCCGTCGAAGAAGCATGTGAAACTGCTGATTCAAGGCAATTGACAGTTTCGGGTGACGGCAGCTGGCAAAAACGAGGGTTCGCTAGCCTCAACGGAGTTGCTGCCGTCCTTTCTAGTTGTTTAACACCAAAGGTACAGTGAAGCTTGTGAAGTCTTTCTCAATAATTTTTATTTTGTCAGGTTTTGGACATTGAACGGATGTCCAAAAAATGTTCGGTCTGCGACGGTGCACGTAGTATCAAACAGATAAACAAAGAACAATATGAAAAGATAATCAATAATCACAACTGTCAAATCAATTTCAAAGGTTCTGCAGGTATATCTCGAACTAAAATTTTCTCTTCCTTCGAAAAACTTTTCCAATTGTTGTCTTTTAGGAGCGATGGAAGTTGATGGTATATATCGATTATTTAGTAGATCCGTTGTACGGTACAATGTGCAATACGTGAAGTGAGTAAATTTTGAAAAATTTACCAGTAACTATTTTGCTGTTTTGCAAAGATTATGATTTATTTTTGTTTTGCTTTTATCACCTGCCGTATCGTTCATTATTATTTGCTTCTTCTTCAGATAAGTACCTTCAGTTTGGAGCGTTTCCTTTTGTTCGCGCAGAGATGCTTTGTGGAATGTTTTGTATTTAGCTATATCGGAGATGGGGATACCAAGACAATGTTAAAACTGTCGAGTGAACCGCCTTATCCTGGTATAGTTGTTCAAAAAATCGAAGATATAAACCATTGGTGCAAGAAAATGCACCATCGATTGGAAAAGAAAAAGAACGAGATGAAGAATATCGTTATCGACGGAAAAAAAGGCATATCTGGAGCGGGAAGGTTGACAGAAAGTAAAACATTCACTTTCCTGACTATTTATTCCAGTGTTATTCTTTGCATTTTTCTTAGATATGATGATAAATTTTAAGTATTATTACAGGCAAGCAATCGTCAGAAACAAAAACAATCTGGAAGAAATGGTGAAGGCTGTGTGGGCGATTTACAAACACAAAGTTGAAATATGGCTTTAAAACTAAAATCCAGAACGCTTTCGATTGTTTTTAGGCTTCAACTAATCAAGAACCACATCATGAATGGTGCAGTCCAACATACTGTGGGTACTGGAAAGCCTTGTTGGAAGGTAATGGTTACTTTTTGTTTCTTCTTTTGCTTTGCCGAAAAGTCTCTTGTGAAAGAAAAAGTGATTTTTGTTCATTTTCAAGATTATATATTTGCACGCTGCTATCGAATAAAAAAAACAAGTGTTTTTCATTTCTTCTTACTCAGTTCAGCAATCAGAAACAGAAACGTCTATATGACCTTGAACTATTTTTTGCAGATCAAGAGTATGATCATACTACGCACGGTCTTCCGCAAGGAGTGATGAAGACCATTCGGCCAGTATTCGAAGAATTAGTCTCTCGTAAGTTTTGCAAAGATTCATTTTGCCCTCGAAGCTGCGCTTTTTGTGTTGCACTTAGCTGCTTGTACTGATTTTGCTTTCTTTGAAAAATATATATTATTTTTTTGCTCTGTTTTGCTAGGATTTTCTTTCTTTGCAGCAATAATTAGATAAGTATTTTTTCTCTTATAATATCATGATGCTTTGTGGAGTTTTCTATTTGAATTTTAGCCGAAATCCTCAAGCGGGTTCTTCATGGATCGACTCAAAACCCCAACGAGTCTTTTCACTCGGTACTATGGAGCATGGCT